CTGGGATTCCTTTGTCTTGGAGTTGCTTCCAGGTTCCACATCAGCTTTGCAAAACAGACCCAGCACTGGGAGAGACTCAGGAGTCCAACACGCTGAAACAGTTATTTAGGGGGTGATGGAGGTGACCTTCCAAGGGCTAATCCAAAGCCACACAGGGAAAATGAGCATCCTGCACCTCCTGGCATGAAGAGCTGGGCTCTGTGTGTGTGTCAACGCTTGAGTGTCAAGGAAGCAGAGAGGCACGGCCAGACAGCAGTGTGGGGAATGTTGGGAGAGGAGGAAGCAAAGGAACGGGGATACCAGGAGTGGAGGAGCAAGTGCAAGCCTGCAAATGAGAGGCCAGGGCCATAAAGAGGGATGGGATCAGGCAGAGAGACAGGGTGAGTGGGAAAAGGGTGAAAGAATTATCTCAATCCCTGCAGAGAGTTCTAGAGAGCTTGTAGGCTTGGGCTTCTCAACTGGGAAGAGAAAGAAATTCAAAGATTAAGAGGAGGAAGAGGGAGCCCAGGAGTCTGTGCATGTGTGATGGGGAGGGAGATGCAGAGACACTTCAGCAGAGACCCTCCTGTTCCTCCAGCAGCACTTACCATCTGCTCCTCATCCCCTTAGATCAGCCTGTGAGGCAGAGGGTTCCTCGGGGTCTGCACACCAGAAACAGAAAAAGGAAAAAGAAACAGTCCAAGCCTCCAATGTAGTGATGTAAAAAATGTGGAGGGGAGCTGTTTACAAGAGCATGGAGTGACAGGAGAAGGGGGAATGGCTTCAAACTGAAAGAGAGAAGGTTTAGATTGGATATTAAGAAGAAATTCTTCCTTGTGAGGGTGGTGAGGCCCTGGCACAGGTTTCCTGGAGAAGCTGTGGCTGCCCCATCCCTGGAAGTGTTCAAGGCCAGGCTGGATGGGGCGTGAAGCAACCTGATCCAGTGACTTGTACCTCTCTCAGAGCCTTTGTGAAGGCTGAGGCTAAGTGGATGATCTCCTGACAAATCAAGACAGATCTCATGTGTGCTCCAACCTTTCTCTGCTCCATCAACAGGGACTTGAAACACACATTCACACCTAAAGCACACATAGGGCCACATCTCTGTGAAATTATGGGACCTTTATATACTCTGTCTCTGGCTTTAAGTGAAAAATCCTCCCTCTTTGAATCACTCTTTCTATAAAATATGTATTTCTATATAATGGAGCCCCTCTGATGGTGAAAAGCTGTTGCATCCTGCTCCCCAGAGCACTTCATGGCTGATAGTGGGCAAGAGCTGCTTGTCACCCCTTGGTGTTCAGAGGAGGTGCAAGGGGAGAACTTGTTTCAACCACAGACCACAGGGCTGAGCTGGGTTCCCTGTTCCCTTTGCATCCCAGGGAGTTCAGCTCCCAATGAAAACCCCCATGTGCAACCCAAGGACCCCCAAGTGCACTGAGGAAACTGTTCCCATGCAGAAGCTGACCTTAAAAAAGGTCAGGGGATATATATATATATTTGGCAGCACAAGAAAGCTGCTTCTTGTAGCCTGATTTATAGTGACAGCTCTTTGAAGGTGTTTTGGGTTAAAGGTGCCTTGCTGGGACTGCCAGAGCCACGATAGGACTGGGACAAGCTGGAGAAATCGGCTTTATCACTGGGGCTTCCATTCTTGTTGAGGGCTGGTGAGTGATGGAGCCAAGACTGGCAGAACCATAGAGTTTGAAGCATAAATCCTGTGAGGAGCAGCTGTTTAGCCTGGAGAAAAAGAGGCTCAGGGGCACCTTACTGCTCTTTACAACTACCCGAAAGGAGGTTGTGGTGTGGTGGAGGTCGGTCTCTCCTCTCAGGCAACCAGCCACAGGACAAGAGGGAATGGCCTCAAGTTGCACCAGGATGGATACTGGGAAAAATTTCTTCATTGAAAGAGTGGCCAGACATTATAACAGGCTTCCCAGGGAGGTGGTGGAGTCACCATCCCTGGAAGTGTTCAAAAAGTGAGTGGATGTGGCACTTCCCAATGTGGTTTAATGGGCGTGGTGGTATTTGGTCAAAGGTTGGACTTACAGGCCTGGGGGTCTTTTCCAACCTTAATGATCCCCTGATTCTATGAAAACAGCTTTTAATGGAGCAACTATACAGCCAGCAGAACCACTCTTATCTCTGGGATGCAGACAGGGTTGAGCCCAGCAGACAGAAGCAGGAGAAACCTCCTCCTTCCCCAGGGATGGGACCAGTCCTGGAGCCTGTCTATCTTTAAAAAGGTCAGGTCAAGCCATCACCCTCCTGTCCTTCATCTTCACAGGCCTCACAATAGCACTGTGGGCAGTGAAAACCTCTGATAAGTCAGACCTTCATCCAGTTATGAAAAGATCTGTATGACATGGCTTGTAGGGTGGATGGGATATTTGCTCCCCAAGGCCAACTTGTTTCTAATCCTGCCTCCAGCACAACCCTTGCACCCACTCTCAGCCACCAAGGCTCTACAAATGCTAATTCATTCAAGCACTTGAAATGTGTTGTATCATGAGCACACAGGCAGTGACTGCACTGCTGTGGTGGCAGCTCTGTCACTCACATCACTTGCTACGCCTCAGATAAAATCAGACTTGGGCAAAGGCTTCTGTAGCATTGAGTGTTTCACAAAATGGGATCAGGTTTTAAATAACAACAGTCCCTGCCCTTTTCACTAACCTCTCTCACAGAGACACCCATGAGCTTCAAAGAAGGGTGGGAGGAGATGATTGAATAAATCACACAGGGACTCAGGGCTCCTGAGTTCTCTACAGGGCTCCATCAACAACCTGGGGCCTCACAAAAACCTGGCTAAGCTTGTGCTTTAGAATAGCCAATCACAAAATGAACCCACTCCAGTTTAAGGGTCAGGGATGTGTAGGTAGTCACCATGTCAGCAAGAATATGTTCATGGAACTTTCTGGAGGAAAATCAAATTGCTCCTCTTGTTCCAGATTTCATTTTTTAAGGAAGTGAGGCATTGAACATTGCTGTCCCACTGGCCTTTCCTACAGAGATTTGAGACAGTTCCTGGGCCCAACCAGCCCAAGGGAGCCAAACATCTTGTCTCTGTAAATCTGAAGGGCTATACAAAGCCAGGGGTGGTATCTGAGGTGACCTGATGCCAAATGGACCTGCACAAAAAGGACACTGAGCAAATCTGAAATCAGTGGATTGGTTATTGCCATATCAACATGCTCAAGGGCTGTGACCCCCAAGGAATTCCATTCTATGCAGAAGAAAAAGAGAAAGAGCCCACACAGTGAAAGGACATGAAAAAGGAACAGTGTCACAACCAAAGCCTCACAGGACCTCAAGCATCACCTGCCTCCAGCTTCCCACCCCATCCCAGCAGGTGACTGGGACTGTTTTCACTTCAGCACTGGAGGTGACATCCAGTTCTTGCCCAGAATGGAGCAGACTGGAAAGCAATCCCAGCCCTGTCATCATGTCCTGTTCTCCTGAGTTATGACATCTCACAGCCTCTTTAATGAGGAGGAATGTACAGAGTTGCTCCCCACCACCAAATTTTAGGTATAAATATCCACAGTAGAGTGAAGTGGTCAGAAATATCACAGAGGCACAAAACGCTTCAAATAAAATGGTTCAAGCAGAAGAAATAACACTCATAGGTTGGAAAATATAATCTCCCTACTGTGTATGTGGAGAAGCACTACCAGCCTGTCACATCTGAGCCCTTGGATCACAGCAACCCTCTTGAACACCTCCCTCAAAAATATCTCATATATCTCTGCTTTACAAGCCAGGAGAAAACACCTCTTAGCTTAGGTAAAGGTTAATAATTCCATTGTTAGTCACAGTCTGGAAAACAGCCACCTGAGGAGGATATGAGGAAGGTCTATAAAATCGTGGCAGGTGAGGAGGAAATGATTATTCACCGTGGCCTTTTTAAGGCAGGAATTTGTGGGTAGTAAAACTGCCACGGGGGTGGATGATAAGAGGGGATTTTGTGCCCCGTCTCCATCCTTGAGGCCACTGATTGTGGACCACTGGTGCTGTCAGAGGGTGGGAGCACCCAGCACGTCATGGGGTGCACCTTGGTGTTAGGGAACTGGGTGATACTGGGAGGAAATCACACTGCTCTGAAGGTGGCAGGTGTCCTCCAGACCATTCATAAAGACAATAAGGAGAATATCAGGTGGCTGTTTTATGTTTGGTGCCGCTTACATGGTCCAAGGGGTTCAGTGAATCCTGGAACATCTGTAGGGGTCTCAAGTGGACGGGTGACCTCCACTGAAGTGGCACTGTAGGGCCCCTGCCATCACCCAAAAGCAATCCTTTACTCCCTTTATTTCTGTGGAGCTAGAGCCCCTCATGAGTGTTTTTGAATAAATGAGTTACAAATAACTCGTGTGACCCTGCACGTCCATAAGTCTAATTATACACAGTGGATTTTTTCATGCAAAAGTAGTTCCTCCTCCTCCCACCCCAACAGCAAACTTCTCAAGGCCAAGCATTCTGCTGAAATCATCCATGCTGAACACCCAGATTGATCCTTCCCTGGGATCTGGCTGTTAGCATTTGCAAAATAACACAACAGAGACATCACATGAAACTTGGCCTGCACTCTGGCAGGCTGCACCCTACACTCCTGATTGCTGCATCTCAAAGAGGCCCCAGACTCTCCAAAAACTCCACTAGGAGCCAAATGATTCAGCATTACTCTTTTCCATGTCTGTGGCAGATGCAGCCACAGTTTGAGTGGGGGTGGAGAGCAGTGTGGTACCAGCAGATGCAGCAGCAGCTCCTTGTCATGCAGCCAGCAGGACGTGGACTGCACAAAGCAACACTGGGGGTTCCTTCTGCCTTCTTAATTCTCTGCCCCTGGCCCCTAAATATTGCATCAGTGTATAAATGCAGTGGTTTCTGAGCATGAGATCAACAACAGAACACATCTTTGTAGGAACTGTGGTCACTGTCAGAACTTCCCGTGCAGTCCTGACGTCCGTAGAATGATGGAGCCAAAAGCTTTCAAAGCACCATGGACTGGTGGAGTTTCTTACCTGCTTCTCAGACATGATGTAGAGGTGCTCGTGGTCCACTGAGAAGGCCATGTCCCTCAGGATGGGGCCAGTGTCCACCACCTGCACGATCTCGTACTCCAGGGTGTTCTTGGTGGTGCCGTCCACACGGATCTGAAAAACAAAAGCAGGGAGAAAACATGAGTATTTTTCCTCCTTCCACTGGAAATGTAGAATAATCATAGAATCACAGAATGGTTTGGGTTGGAAGGGACCTTAAAGATCATCCAGTTCCAACCCCCCTGCCATGGGCAGGGACACCTTCCACTAGATCAGGTTGCTCCAAGCCCCATCTAACCTGGTCTTGAGGACTTCCAGGGATGTGGTAGCCAAAGCTCCTTTGGGCATCCTGTGCCAGGGCTTCCCCACCCTCACAGTAATATATATATATTTATAATATATGTACGTAATAATCACTGGAGAAATGCATTTTGGTCCAGGTTTTTTGGACAACAACCACTGTCATCACAAAGTGGACTTTTCCCTTCCTCCTCACTGCAAGGATAAAGCAGACTTAACCACCTCTGCTGGTCCCATCAGCACAAGAACAATCCAGGGCCTGCTTGCTATCATCTGGCACTGTCACTGTGCTGCTGTCATTGCCTGGACAAATCTACCACTCCAAAAATGATGGCACAAGGGAAGGATTTGTGGTGGTGATGAGCAAAAAGATAAAAAACACACAAGAGCCTGAAGGACTGACTCACTCAAATGCTACTCAGATAATATTATTGCTCTTCTTGCTAATGTTCCACGAGGCAATACATTATTGCAGAGTGTTCAATGCAACACAGGCTATTTCTCTTGTTGATTGCACATATCAGATATTGAAATCGGTCCTGCACGAATATGGCACCTTATGATTCCAGACACATCTCATAATGGGGTGTCACTTAGGAACATCAATAACTGGGATTACGAGGAGGAACAAGACACAGTTCCCAGTCTATCCCTGACTGTGATCCAGTGATACAGAAGAAAACGCAACAAACAGCAGAGGTTTCTTTACCTGTCTAAAAACGATTTCTAGAGTTGGGTTCAAAAATCAGTTGGAGAAGGTTTCCAATCCCTTTTAATATATAACAATTCAGGATAAACTAGCTGTTCACAAGAGTCCTTCTGGATCTTGTGAGGCCCTTTACAGCAGCAAACTCCACAGTCATGCATTTCAAGATGCATCCACATTCCTTATCTTCCTCACTGTGTTTTCACTGTGTTGCCTTACCTTTCACTTTCTGAGAATCTTCTACCCTGTAGCAACACAAACATCACAGTGTCCTTTCCTAGAAGAAACAAAGTTGCAGTAGATCTGCATCTTGCTGCACATCACGATCTTCATACCTTCCTGACCAAAGCTCCCCAGTCCCTGGTTTGCACTTGTGCAGTTTGGGAGCTGAGAGAAAAGTACCCTTCCCATCCAAAGGGAATAACAAGCTGGGGAGAACTTATGGCACCAAGACCAGATCCCACTGTTCCCTGGCACAGTCCGTGAGCTTGTTCCTTCTGTATCAACCTTTCAGCCAAGAAACTGAGCCCAAATCATCTTCTGTGTTAGAAAGTCAGAGAAAGGAAGAGAGGGAATGGCAAAGGGTCTGAAAAGGCTGTATGAGCAAGGGGCAGCAAGGATTTACAGGTTCTTTGTCCTTCCTCAACCTACTCACCTGCTGTGGGACAACACAGAAATATGGTTTCCCCAGGAAAGACAAGGAAAATGAAGCACAAAGGGCTTATAGGGGCTCCCTGTGCCAGCAAAGGGTATGAAGAGTGCTCAGGGTTGCTCAGATCCTACTTTCTATCCATGAACCTCCACAGAAGTGGGTGCACGTGCAGGCACCGGCTGTTGGGCTGGTCAAACGACACCAGAGGGTCTGCAGTTCATTTGTCATCTTGATGGATCTGGTGATGACAGCAACACATGTCTCAACATCCACACACCAAGAGGTCAGGCCTGAAGCCCAACTCCGAGCGTCCCTTCCTCCCGCTGGCTCTGACTGCCTGGGAGGAAAGGGCTCGTTTCCGTGGTCCCTCATGGGTGAATTCAGCTCCTTCTAATCTTTCTTCTTGGAAGTGGACACTGATGTGAATCACCCACGAGGTCAAGGGCAAAGATGCCAACAGGCTCAGGATGAGTCATTCCCCTTGGGACAGTCAGGACAAGGGAAGGAGAGGGAGAGGGCTGCAGGTTGAGAGCACAGGAGTGTCTCTGCTGGGGCTCTGCCCTGGGCAGCTCAAATACCCCCACAGCAGGGGCCTTTCCCATTTCCCTCTGAGGCTTTCCAGCTCCAAGTTCTCTCTATCAGGGAGCAGTCAGTGAGCTTTGTGTGCTGTCTCCTCTCTGCCTCTGCCCCAGTCCCTCGTGGCTGCTCATCTCTGTCAGAGCATCCTCACCCTCTGCTGATCCCTGTGCTAAACAAACCTCACATCTTCGCTGCTTTGACCTTGATTTTTCAGCATCATCGGGGTCAGATCTGCAGGCCACCAGATATGTAAGCAGGCAATTATCACCCCAGGGCTCAGTCACCATCCTCAGCCTCTGCTGGGCCCCATTAGAGGGGAAAGAGCTGGGAGATGGAAGAGGCAAGGCTGGAGAAACAGCCGGCTGGAGTTAACAAACCATGGAGACAGGAGGCACAGCCCCCAGGGATCTCCCCCCTGCATTTGGTGCAGGTAAAAGATTGCAGAGGCTTCACACCAGGAACACAGAGCTCCTCCGAAGTGATTTAACAGCGATTGCCGGCCTAATTGCCTGAAAAGTCATTATTTTGCCGAAGGGGAGGGAGGGAGGGAGGGAGGAAGAGGGGTTCATTCCACCATCCATGTGCAAACACACACACACACACACACACACGTGAGCTCACGCACACACATGTGAGTGCAGAACCTCTCTCTCTAGTTAAAACTAGTAGCTAAAAGAAAGAGAACATTGAGAAAAAGGCCAGAAAACCTGGCAGACATCAACCCACGCTGCACAGACCGTGCAAGCCCTGAGCCAGCACTGAGGTGATTACGGGAGGCTGCAGCCAGGAGTCTGGCCTTTAACTCAAGCCTTTACCTGCCTTAAACTCTGTCTTTTTTATGTTGGACCCCAGGCACGGAGCCCAAAGGATCTCCAAGTTTCCGGCACATTCTTCACAGTCCTGAGCACCAGACAACACAACAACAGTTTCTCCTTAAGAGAGATTTATTCCTGGCTCAAGGCTCCGACTAGAACCAGGGTAGCAAAAAAAATAAAAATCAAAAGAAGAGCCTGTGACAGAGAAATGAGAAGATTCTCATCAGGTGATCATCACTAAAGTCAAGAACACAGACACAATCTCTGCTTGGGAAGCTCCCCAAGTTCCCAATTGCAGGGAATTTGAAGCACACACCAGCTGTTTGCTCTGTTCCTGCTCTTCTCTGCTGGCATCAGCCACAAGCCCCACATGGAGCTGGGTGCTAGGATGGATAAAGTTTGACTGAAATATAGGTGTTCTTATATGCAAGATGATCTTATTAGGCTGTGGGATGAGAACCTGACTGTCAGTCCAGTTGGGATTGCTCCTTGAAAGAGCCTGTGAACCACGAGCACCTCTGCAAGGCAAGAGGGAGGGGAGCAAGAAGCGATGGAGGGGCTCCAGGACCACAAAGAAATCTCAAAATGCTCAGTCTACTCCAAACTCCACTACCAGCTGCGTGCACACTGATCCACAAACACCCTCATCACCTCCACCACAGGATCATCCACCTGCTCCCGCTGCCTAAATGTCTGTCTTGGCTCCTTGGACCCCAAGCTGCTCCACTCAGCACCCTGAGCTGCCCTGCCCTCGTTTAACCCAACACACACGTGGGAGGTCCCAGGGACCAGCATTAATCCTGCTTCCTGGAAGGCTCCGCTCGCTGGGCTCGGCTCTGCAAAGCCAGTTGCTATTAAAACATCAGCAGGATGCTTCCCGAAGGTCAGCTACCAGGGGACCCATTCTGGCAGCTGTTTGTTTGTTTGTCTGAACATTATCTAGGCCTGGGCTGTTTATTTACATCCATTGAAGTATCAGACAATAAATATCCTCTCCCAGTAGCAAACAGATGCTTGCACTCGAATGTTCTGGCGAGCGCTGACTTCAAAACGATCCCCTTAATGAGCAAACAACACTATTAATCTTTAAAGACACAGGCTCTGGCCTTCTCTGAGCTCCCACCCTGGCCATGGCTAGACCCACAGGCATCCTGGCAAGCAGCCCATGGGTCTGGGAGATGAAAGAAGGTGGAAGATACCTTCTATCACTCGTCTGGCACTTTTCAGCGTTATCTGGGTCTCCCCAGCTGCTGAGGGATCCATGGGAGGGCGAAGCTTGAGCACAGTTTCCCCATCAGGTTGGTGACAGATGTCTCAATGACACTTCTAAGAGGGAGATAGGGTTTGGAGGTTGGGATCATATAGCTGTTGAAGAGAGGGACACAATACCCCGCTCCAAATCATGGGGATGGACTCAAAATGGTCAGAGAAAGAGCAGAGGACAAAAAAGAAATTGGTGGTAGCAAGAACTTAGTGCCTTTGCTGTAAGATAAACCATGATTAGGGCAAAAAGAAAATATCTTTAAGATCACCAGAGCCACAGAAACACCTGCCTTCCAGACTGGAACATCAATCCTCTCCTATGGTCTGAGAGGGACATGTACCTCTGTTATCATGTTATTCCTCCCTGTAACGGGGCACTTCCTGCTAAAAATCCATCCACATCAAATGTACTTCAGGAGCTTTACTTCAGACCTGTCAAAGCCTGATCCTATTGACTGAATCAATGTTTGGAGCACGTTAACATCATCCAGTTTCGGTTTAATCAAGAAAAAGGCACTGGCACAGGTTGCTCAGAGGGGTTTTATACACCTCATCCCTGGAAGTGTTCAAGGCCAGGTTGGATAGGGCTTGGAGCAGCCTGGGCTAGTGGAAGGTGTCCCTTCAAAATTATCTTCAGACTCACTCCAGAAACACATCCCTAAACCCAAACTCCTGCTACTACCTCACTTCTATTTTATTGTCTGAGCAGCTTGCACTGCTCTCTGGCAGCAAAAAAACTGGATCATTCCCACTGTGCCAACTGGGCTCAGCTGCTTCCTACTCCTCTAAAACCACCACC